TCCCTCAAATCAGTCCGTTTGCTGAGAATGCTTTCTCTAACACCAGTGTGCATCAGTCCTGTCCAATCTAGTCTCTCATCATACAACTGATTTTTTTTATCACCTACAACAGGAAAGAAAAAAGGGGATGAAAGAAGAACAAGTGGAAGGACATTATTTCTTTCTGAAACTTTCGAGTATTCCTTAACATTGTCTACAGAAAACCTTAAGTTATTAGTCATACCTAATAATTCCTTAAGAATAAAGCATATTATGTGAGTGGTATAGCCCAGTGGTAGTTTTCTTAATATGTGTAAGATTCTGGATTCAATCCCTAGCACCAATATATAAATAAATCTCATTAACCCCCTGTTAATACAAAGCCAAGTATGAGGATGAAGTGCGTCCTGGGACATGTTTCAAAATTATTGGAAAAAGGAGATGCGTAATCTCTAAATAGCTAATTCTTCATGTTCTCAGTGGAACTCTTGTCAAATACAAACAGAGTTATAGAAGCAACCAGAGCTACAATGCCCCAACATTTCTCCCATTGAAATCAGAGTTGTAAAGGCATAAGTGACGATTAAATTGCTCCCTTTTCACATTTGGAACAAGGCTACAGTCAAGTGAAAGAGGAAACATTTTAACTGATGGACTGATTCAGAATTGGGCCACTGTGATTCTCCTTAAGAACTGTCCTCCAGGGGAAGTATCTTGTGTGCTTCAGTCTTGGCTGGAGGCCGAGGTGACCCAAGGCAGGCCTGACATGAAAACTGTCATTTTGTAAAGGTGACAGGACATGCAACAAGACAGCTGGCCTGCTGAGGTGCAGTGAGGGTGAACATCAAGAAAGGGGTAAAGGGCCGGGGATTTAGCTCAGTGGTTCCCCCACCTGCCTCAAAAGCACAAGTTCCTGAGTTCAGTCCCCAGTACCAAAAAAAAAGGAGGGGGGGGAAGACAGCAGAGAAGGGAGCTGCTTTCTCTGAAGCTTATCTGAGATCCTCTGGTTGAGAAATCAAGACTTGAAACCTCCAGATAAAAGGCCTGCTGTGACAGCTGGCCTGTCTTGGCTTTCCGTACAAATGCCAAAGAAATGTCTATTCTTTAACCAACCTGTTTCTTAACACACTATGCAGCCATGTGAGAAACCCTTCAGAGTTATGCTCAGGAGTTTAAGGAATGTTTTTATGGAAGGTCATGGCTGTCATGGTTCCTGTAAAACTCCTTTGACCAGAACCAAGGTCCTCCCCACAGTAACATTTTAGATCCCAAGTGAAGAGATATAGGTGCCAGGTCCAGATACTAAGACATAAACACAATAGAAGGGAAAGTCTAACTATTTGATATCTATTGTTCATGAAATCTGAGAAACAGAAAAACCAGGACAACCAAGTGGGAATTTCTTTCTGAAGGGGCTGCTGGGTGCCCGGGACCCCCTCAGAGATGACTGAGTATGGAAAACTGTGCAGGAATTTGTTTTCTTCTGGCCCGATACAGGGAAGAACTCTGACCCTTCTGCCAGTCCTTACCTGAGAAATCTGCAATTGTTTCTGACCTAGTTACAATGTCACAGATCCTCCAAGGAAGGAGGTAGAGCCACTGATTAACAGATGAAATAGTATAGCAGTGAAACCAATACCCTCAGAGGACCTTCAAAAACATTCCTTAAATTCCCAAGAAACCATTCCTATCTTGGAGAAAGGAATGTTCACAGGAGATTATATCAGAATTACTCGAGGGAAGGGGCTTGTTATTGGAAACAGCTGCTGCATCCCCTCTCCACACCTGTTTATTCTGATGTTAGTGATGGGTCTACTGCATCTTTCCTTTATGCTGAGGAGAAAACAGAACCACAATAAAATATTTTCAGATACTCCTTAAGGCACAACTCTGAAAATACTGATCATAAACACTAACAAAAGTCCTTTCATTGAATACTTGCTATCAGCCCATTAGGCTGCTGAGGTCTTTACATGAATTATTCTAGTGAGCTGCTAAAAAGTAAATACTCCTACTTTATTCCAAGTAGAAACTGAGGCAGAGGTCCAAGGTCACACTGGTTAATCCAACTACAGCAGCTCTGGAATCCACATCACCACTTATCAAATTATTGACCCACATGCATTCCCAAACCTCTTTAGCCCAGCATTTAAGATTCTGTAGACAACCCCTCCTATTTCACTAGCTAGCATCTGCTATTTGCTTCCTCGTGTAGCAGACGACCTCTCCTAAGAGGTGTCTGGACCAAGTCTTCCGTTCCTCTTCTTTTCCCTCTTTACCTCACTACACTCATCCCTATCACTTTACCTAGAGTGCTCCTCATGGTCTGCAACAACCTCCAACACATAAACCCATGCTCAGTTCTTAGCCTTTACCTCATTTGACCACGACATGGTCGCCATGCCCTTCCCCTTGGTGACCTTTCCTCACTTTGCTTCTGGTTCGCTATTAGCTCTTGGTTATGTCAAAGCTTACATCTTTCCCATCTCTTTGCTGGCTCCTTCTCCTCTTCATAGCTGCAGTACTGGGTAGCTCCAGAGCTTGGTTCTTGGAAATCTGTTCTACATCCACATTCATTCCCTTAGTGATCTATGGCATGCTCATGCTAAAGTTGAAATTCCACATGCATAGTGATGCCTACCTCTTCCCAAACTTCTGCTCATGCAACCACTGTAAAACATTGCCAATTGGGTTGTCAAACAGGCACCTCAAATTTACTACATCCATGATGAACTTCCTGTGTGTTCTTCCCTACTCTTGCTCAAGTCAAAATTCTTGTGGTTCTCCTGGATTGAAAATGCATTCTCTCCCAGCACTTGGGAGGCTGAGGCAGGAGGATCACCATGAGTTTGAGGCCAGCCTGAACTACAAAGCGAAACCCTGTCTCAAAAAATGAATGAATGCAAGAGAGATTATGTAAAGGTGCAAATTTCCAATGATGAGTGCCAGTATATTGTACACCTAAAATGTACCAATAAAATTAATTTTAAAAATGAATGAAAGCATACATTATCTTTCATACCAGAAAGCTTATAGGTTCTACCTTCACTGTATGGAGGGAGGACCACTTCTTAGCACTTTAGCTTCTCCCCTCCCATCAGGGCTCGATTTTACCCTCACAAATGTCCTGATTTGAACATTAAATTTAGCACTGCTCTGACCTAAGCCCAACCCCCAGGCATTTTCTCTGAGACCTCATCTAGAATGTTCACTGGTCCGGCAGTGTTGGTATTCTTCTCAAGAAAATCACATTCCTGCTTAGGATCCTGTCCTTAAATGTCCGCTCTGTCTTCTTCCAGATATTTAAGTGGCAAGTTTCTCACTTCCTCTAAGTCTTTAGTGAATTATTAGCTATTCTGCAAGATTCCTTGTGGCCAAGAGATGCAGGGGAAAGGAAAAGAATATAAAAAGAATGATGTGTTACATCCATGTGCCAACTTCCCATAAGGAATGTAATTATGTGCTGTAAATAATTTTAAAAAATGAAAAAGACCCCTTATTTGTCATGAGCCTATCCTATTTACTCTGCTCATCTTTGTCTGCACCATGTTTACCATGTTTCAACATATTCTTTAATTTATTATACTTTTCCTCCCTCTGCTAACATATGAACCCCATGGAGTCAGTTTTTTCTTTACCCACTAAGGGAAGAATATGCCTGCATATGTAGGTGTGTGTTAAATCTGTAAAGACAGAGGACACTAAAGCTTTCTTATCTCAGACTTCTCTCCTACTGCTTCACTGGTTCCCTGCCTTGCCTTTTTTGTCATAATCCTTCTCCTTGAACTAGACATTGCCAAAGTTCTCTCCTCCTTCCTTCAAGGGGTTATGGACAAAAGCAGACTAATACTGTACACTGAACATAGAAGCTGACATAATTATTGCAACTTCAGAGCAAGAGATCCACAGAGTTCCCCACCTACCTTGCAAATTCGGGGCTCTGAGTGTCAGCCACTTACCTGTGAACTGAGGTTCAGTTAAAAACGTCCTGCATTTTAGAGTCAGAGAATCCCTGACCAATACTGCCACCTACTGATAAGAAGGTGAGAAATCAGGACAATCGCTGTCAACCAGTTTAAAAAAAAAACAAACCAGCAAGCAACAGTAATGAAAAATCCTGTGAAGTCAGTAAAATAAACTACTTTTCCCAAAGAGAACCAACCAGGAGTTCACACCGAATTGTACAGCAACATCAGGCAAAGATTGTGTAAGTGCAAAGGATTATAATGACCTTCCAAAAAGAAACATCACCAGAATATTAACAGGACAAATAGTCTGCTTCACCAGCACCTACTATGAGTTCAGTGGTTCAGGACTCAAAGCAAATATATTACTTTTCCATCTCGTGGAAATAAAGACAAATATTCACAAAGATTTAAAACTTAAAAAGAAATCACAGTACAAATATTTAGGTTAATACCTGGAATGTCTATATTCAAGGCTCAGTACTATCAAATTTCTCCATTTGGAAGGTTTTTGGTTTTTTTAATTTTTTACTTAAATGCAATATTGTTCTATGCAAATGCTTCGGTTATGAGTTCTGGAGAGAGCTCAAAATGGCAGCTTCGTTTTTCTTTACCTAAATCTGGTACCTTTTTCAGGATCAAAAACCTTCTGTGCTCTCTTCCCCAGTCCCCGGTTAGGTAGTAAAGATGGTGAAAAGTAGCTATTAGATGCTTCAGAAAGACATTTATTTAAATCATTATATTCATTCCTGAAGTTGCACATCCCTAACATTTTTCAAACTTGATATTCTTTTCATCAAACCATCAATAGAACATTCCGCTAATCAAGAAAATACATACTGTTAAAATGAGAAACAGAATAAAGTTTTGAAAGTCCTAAAAAATAGAAATCTGCATAAGGAAAATCCCGAGGGAAGGAAGTTCCCCTCACTTATCTTCGAAATTTAAAAATTACATGAGAGAAATAGGAACAATAAAAGCAGATGTGGGTTATCATAACAAAAATACTCATTTGTCAGTTAAAAATATTAAGAAAGTGGACTCATAAACACAGGATTAAAATAATTCAAAAAATTTAGAAAAGTATTTAATTATAAAATGTCTTTAAATAAAAAAGCAATGGCACAAATCACCAGGAAGTTACTTAAGTGATCATATCCACAGACTACTGTTGTAATTAAATGCTACAAATGTATGACTGTCCTCATTAACAGCATTTTCACTCCTAATTAGAGTGACATCCAGGGCTTCTGAGTATGTAATTTTTCCTAACGAAATACTAAAAGTATCAAACACAGTTGGCGCAGAATTCATTTACATCACCTTTATTTACTATACTCTAACCTCGTAAAATATTTAATGTTTCTCTTATTTACAATTTGGAGGCTGACCTCTTGTCACAATGTGATTTATGCATTAAAACCCTTATGAATAGTCCTTTCAACAGTTTAATAAGTGTACTGTCTACTTAAAATAAGTACACAAAATCTTGTTCACGTGACTGTTATACCCGGATTAACTCCACCAGTAGACTTATTTAGGAGGAAAAAAAAATTTAAAACCCTGGTTTAAAATACATTCCCTAGCCATTACCAGATTGTGTTATGATGCATATTTATAATGCTGATAGGACAACAGCAAAGCCAGCTAGGACTGTTTAAATAAACTTTGCAAGAGTACATCATACATGAAGTAATTTGGCTTTCACTCCCTGGTTATTGGTATATCACTTATTCCACATGGGTGTGTTTTATTTATTCGTAGTATTTAAGTATTTAATGGTTTAGTGATAATTAGCAGTTTCTGATGATTTGTTTTCTGATCTTGGACATAGCTCTGTGCAAATGTGTCAGATGAACTGAAAAAATGCAAATCGTCACATTGACACAGGAGCAAGGTGTTACTTGGATGAACGACTGTAAGGCATGAATACTAACATTCTGTAGTGACAAGAATACTGCACAATGGGGTCTATTTTACTACATGCTGGCTTCATAACTTGACATACCTTGTATATGTTAACTTATTTGGGTTAAAAAGCAAACCGTGTTGAGGAAAGACACATCTGAAGTGGTAAGAAAGAAAATATTACACAATCTATGATTTTAGGAGAAAAAAATGGAGTGAGTAGAAAATATTTTTTCACATTAAATAACAACTGTCACATCTGGACATATTTTACGGCCTGTATGAAAACAGCCCCAAGCTAAGTAAGCCCCTTTCCTATCCAGAAATGTCTTCTAATATGAATAATTAACATAATTCTGGCAGCAGCACAAATCTGTACACTGTTAAGGCTTCAGGTGTCACTTTCGTATAGCGGGGTACAGTTGAATGGTAAGAGCCCTGACATTTCTTTTATTTACACTCTTGACCCAGCAAGAATTATTACAGAAGTCCTTGCAGTCATGTGAGTGGCCGTCTTCTACGATGGCTTGGACTTTATGACCCACTCGGCATTTGGGTTGAGCTGATACAAGTCCTGCATGTAGGTGTCCTCATCCAGGCAGCGTTCGCCTGCAAAGGAGACGTGCACTCAGCTTAACACAGTGGGAGACAGGTGGGATTTCACACACAAGCATAATGGTTTAACTCTGGGGTCCTAGATTTCAAAATACTTCTTGCCCTTTCCAGACTCCCAGGACAATATTTGAAGAGTTGGCCAAAATGCTGGAAAAGTTCATTTGATAATCTTCCTCTAAATTAGCAGGTTTCCAATTACGAAGCTGAAAAGACTGTGTATGGGTTTTTAAATGCTTCCTCATAATCTTATTCATCTTTATTAAGAATGACAACCATTTAAGCACATTCATTCGCAAGATCTGATAATAATTTGATTTTATTAACACTTAAATAATCTTTACTAATTGATTTAATAATTCCAGATTTCTACTGGCGTTATGGTTTATTTAAACTTCAAGAATGAGCTAAGCAGGGCAACAAACCCTATAATCTCAGCTACTTGGGAGAACGAAGAGAGAAGGTGGCAAGTTCAAGACCAGCCTGAGCAACATATCAAGACCTCATCTCAGCAAACAGTCTCACATTTCCTGGACTAAGCTTTAAATACTTACTAATGTTTTTAAGTTCTACAACAACACTTCTTCAAACTATCGTCAATTACTATTTGAGATTAAATATCATTTCATTTCTTAACAGTGTTATCCTTCACCATTTCCAAGAATCAAGAGAAGGTAAAAGGTTATTCTAAATTTTAAAAAATATGAATAAGACCCATGGTAATTACAAAAGGGAAAAATATAGAATATGGTAAAAATTAATTCATCTTATTTCCTAAATTATTAATGTGTATGTGTGTATATATTCATAAAGTTTAGGCACATAATAGCACATAATTCTTGCTTTTACTAAAAATACAGCATCTAGTATTATATCATAATGAAAGTGTTATCTGGTCCTAAATTACCTCAACTACTTCTTCTGAGTGTGCTGTGACATGACAAGATAACAAAATAAGTTTTGGGGGCGTTTTTTGGTACCAGGGATTGAACTCGGGACCTTGCACTTGCAAGGCAGGCGGCAGAACCACTGAGCTAAATCCCCGGCCCCAAAATAAGTTTTTAACCACTTCCATTGTTGACCATTCTAGAGAACCTGCCCCTCCTGAGGCATGTATGGTATATGGCATTTATACAGAAGCTCAAATAGAGCTTGAAGAGAAAAGTCAGACCATTAAACAAATACATATATTCAGTGACTATCTAAAAAGCATGTTATATTATTTTTTCCACCCAAGATGTAAATAACCACTATTGGCAATGTCAAATCAGTATATGGAATGCAAAGAGGGGAAAAAAATGTGCTTACCAATATTTCCTCCAATTTCATACAAAAATACTTCCCCTTTCTTTAGGGTCTGGGCAATCCCACTATTAGGAACAAAACAAACTGATCAGTGTATCATCAAACAGCTTGCAAGTAAATCACTTTAACATGCAGAAGGAATTCTGGCTGCTACAGAAAATTCATAACCTAGACACATTGTAATTATCTATACATTTGTATTTTCCCATCTGTTAAATGTGCCAAGTAGGTCATAAGAATGTCACACCTGTAAATTAAAACAAACAAATGGCATCATGCATCTCAAGGCAAAATAATAAATCATTCTCTAACTTTGTAAAATTAAAAAGTTAATGCAACATTTTAGCTGCCAATAGAGTTATTAATGTGATTATCCATTCTGCACAGGGGCTGGGTGTTCACACTGCATCCAGTCACAGGGCAGCTGTGCTAATGGTGTGTGTAAGGTGGGTTGAAGAGCTCATTCCTCAGCGTGCTGACTATTCAGACGTGAGAGGTAGGTGCGCGTGTCAAGGTGGGAGTGACACTTCTCAACAAACTCGTCCCCTTAAAGTAGTGGTGAATATTTGAGGAGGAAGATTTGTTTACACTGACTTGGATTTACATGGTGGGTGCAGGTATTCGAGTTTTAAAAGCTACGCCATAAACATGGACAATTTTTGGTTTTATGTATCAGTAAAAAACATTTTTTTGTACATTAGGAAAAAAGAATAAGCTTTTAGAATACTGGGTTCAAACATAAAGAATGATAACATCCAGTGAGTTTTAAATTTTTCAGTGAAAGAATTACTTGGGAAACCTGATAAAAATTCAGATCTAGGGCCGAGTGTAAGAATCTGCTCTTAGCAGGCTCTGCAGTGGACTGCAACACATGGAAGGGTTTGTAGACTGCTGAAGACACGCTGTGGAAGTGAGGAGAGAAAACAGGTCTAACGTGCACCAAACATGATACAGTGGTCATGATCCACACTGGCCACCGAGGGCTCGTCTGCCTATCCCGTTTTCTCCAACCCCACCTGTCCTTTGCACACCCAGATACTCAGGAGTGCAAGCACACTCACACTCAAGTTCCCCTGCCGTGCTGTGTCCTTACCAACAGTGAGGACAATTTCCGACCAGGGAGACGCTTTTTTAAAAGTTAAATAAGGTAATAATTATTTTTACTTGTAGAATATAACTCCATGAAGTGAGTATAAGCAGACACTGTTGCAATGAAAAACCAAACCGAATGTTATGAAATCTTCATTTTAAAAATCTCTGCGAACACACTATTGCTCTGAGATGGATTCTCTGTTATTTGCATTCTTGTTCCTCTTTACAAAAACTTGAACTGGACTTTCTGGCACAGGCAAGCTCTCACATAATGCTAATCCACAACAATAATGATGGAAAAGGCACTGACCCTTTATCAAAGACCAATGAGTGGATGTGCAATTTCGTGTACTTATTTTTAATCATTAATGGGTTCTTTGGCTTCAGATGAGAAAGTGCAGAAGAATAAAGATGAAAGGAAGTTCCAACTGCCCCAACACAGATGCAATATAAATGAGAAGCACAGGGAAGCTCCCTGCCTCTATCCCAGGCTCCTAGGGCAGAAAAGCTCAGCCACTCCCAGCACCCAGAAGGAACCTCCCCACCTCCATCCCAAGCTCCTAGGGCAGAGAAGGTGAGCCACGTGGGCACCAGAAGCCCCCCCTCCCATGGAAATGAGAAGACAC